CGGCTGACTGGTCTCATGCAATCAGCTAAGCGAATAATGGTTCACGATGCAGTTGCAATGGATGGTTTCCGGGAATAGATACAGTTCGTTGTGGGAGAAAAATGAGCGAAGCCACGTCTACGCGGGCTGTTCACCTGGAAGCGACCTCGTTGAATCCAAGCTTTCTGATTTAAGTGCTTGTTGAATTCGGGTTATTTTTATTGATTTTAAAGAAGAAAAAAACCCAGGGAATCCATCTCCTCTCGTTGAATCTGAGTTCTCGTTGAATCCGAGCTCGTTGAATCCGAGTTCCACTGTAGTAACTTGTGTGTTTTAATCTTATAAGCCGGAAGAGCACATGAGTCAGACATAATGTATTGCATATTCTAAGTGGCAAGCTCAATTACTTTTTTTGTGTGGAGGTTTAGTCCTTTTTTATCTATGTATGTTTTTGTCATTGTGTTTTTACAAAGAAACATTTGCCATAGCCAGGAAAATCAAGCAAAAGTCTTTAACTTAGGAACAGCCTGAAAAAAAAAAATAATATTGACTTTTTGTGTATTTGATAGCATATCAGTTTTATTTCTTTAGTAAATTTTTCTGTTTGAAAATCAAAAAGCGATGAATAGGCTGACTAAAGATGTTGTTTTTGAAGCTTCTTTTTGTTAGTACCTTTGAAAGTTGGAGAAATAAAAAAGTAACAAGTTTTTATTATGCACTAATAGTTTTCCATCATGTATAATATAGATTGAAAACTCATTTTCCATTTTATTCCAATTCAGAATGGCATATCACTTTGTGTAGTATTTACCCAAAAACATCCTTATTAGAAATACCTCCTTTTTTTCACATTTTTTCTTAGTTTTATGTCTCTTGAAGTTCGAAAACCTAAATGTGTGTCAAAATCTATGTCAGAGGAGATCAAGATATTAACAAAATGTGATTGCAATACTCTTTGGAATGGAAGGACTTTCCTATTTGACTGTCCATCCAAAGTACCCTCAAAATGATGATATGTCCTGTTTTTCTAAGACACCACACCAATGTTAGATTACCTTATACGATAGGCCTACTGAATTGAAGGCTTTGAGTATTAGATAAAAAAAGTTTAAAAATATATTGAAATCTAATGTTATTTGGTCCAGGATTTGCAAATTGATGACAATATTATTGCTACAGAGGAAGTTTGCATTATCATTTGAAGTTCTTTTGAATTGGTTCAGTGATGAGGTCTTTGAGTAAGTTATGTCTCGGATATTGATCTGCTAATCTTTGATATCTTTATCTTTTCAGGGTTCTGGACTGCGACAGCAGAGAGAATTAGGACATGGTATTAACATGGTAAGCTTTTGTCTGTGACTGGTCTATTATGTTAAAATACTCATATAATGTTCGTTTGAAATACTCGGGTCAGGCTCATATTATCAAAATGACGTATAACCATGTACAGCTAGATAATTTAGAGCTTGATTAAATGGTGGAGGATAGTCAAGTCTTTTTAAGTTTGCTCTGAATAAATAAACAGTTATAACAACAGCCAACATAGATTTGGAATGTACATCCTTTTATGCTTTGAACAATTTTGAGTTGCTATCAGTTTGGAATTGTGTTTTGATTAATACTTCATGAGTAATTATGGATGTTATGTATTTACAATTGTTATATTTCATGTGAGATGAGATAAGACTAATCTTTATTGTCTAGCCACAGGTATATATTGGTTTAGTGTTCTCCCCCACCCCCCTCACCCCCTCCCCCCCACACACACACACACTCACACACACATACACATGCATGCATGCACACAATCACACGCACACACACCCACACACTCTCTCTCTCTCTTCTACACATACATACATTTACGCTTACATTCACAAACAGACCGTCAATCACCTACATAATATGATGTAAATGAACAATTTTTAACAGTTGTAATGTTTAAGTTGGTTGATACACAATTAGTATTCGGATAGTATTCTGATAATGCAGTTGAAGCTTTGCATCATTTAGGCGGAGTACAAACCAGCAGCTAGACATGGCGGTGATGAGGGAAACAGTTACCTGGCAGCCATGTCTGGGGACGTTCTTGCTGATGAGACAGAGCCCCAGCTACGAGTCAACGGCATGAATAGTTCCCAGCCGCAGTATTCTATCTGGAAATAAAGCAGGACGCACTGATACCAACAGCTTGTTGATATGATAGTTGATTTACAGCCTTGAAACCGTCCTTGACAGCTGATATTTAATGACTTATAGTCATTAGTGAACCATGGCAGAAATTTGTGGTGGTGAATAATGTGACGGTTTGACAAAATTCTTCCTTTAAAATTTTATTGTTATGTGTTTTCTGAGAAATAAGAATGATATGTTTTCTCAGAAATAAGAATAATTCAAGATCACATAACTGACAGTCGGAATGAATGTTTAAATGATAAGAAGTTTATTTGAGCAAGTATTTCTGACATGATGTACTAAACACTGTGATTATGGGAGTCTTTCATAATTTGAAGGCATTTCTTTAAGGAGGATTTGTGAAGAGTCGAATTTCTGCTTAACATTGTTGGATTGATAACAACGACAAAACTGCTAATGCAAACTTGCAAAGCACTGCCTTTTCTGTTTTAGGCTGTCTTTCTTGAAATCAGTATTAAAGCAGTTTTGCATTAATAGGTACTGCATAGTGAATGGAATTTTTGCTAGTGAAAGATGCATGGTTTGAAAAGTTGTGGTATGAAAACGTATATTTTTGGAGCGTTCTCGGCAATCCGTTGTAAACTTGTTCACATTGCTTTTTATGTAAAAAGTTTTACTTCATTTGATCCAGTATTGTTGATATTTTTAGAAATAATGATGTAATCTTGAAGTTACTAATAATGTGGGTCTGGACCGGAAAGCTTACAGCAGATAATGATATAATTTTCCCTGTTTCCATTTTGATTTTAAAGCGTTTCTCTTTCTACCTTAAGGACATGAACGCAGGCATTAGTGTGTGCCAACCTTACTTTTTTGCACTCTCAGTATGAAAATCTAACAGTGGACCCAAATGGGCCATAGTGTATGGGTCTTGTAGTTTCAGAAAATCAAGGATCAAAAGGTTAAAGATAAAACAATTATCTTGAAACCCTACTTCAGAGTATTACTTTTTGGAGGCTTGAATAAGAATATTGTTATCTTGCCGCTGGTTTAAAGTGATTGTCTTGTTGTATAGGCAACTATGAAATAATAGGTCCTACTTCATTAGGCCATCTGATTTTTTTGGGTCTTTTTATAGAGTTGGTTGTCGTTAACCACTTTTGAGGTTGTTCATATTTTTAATCAAAATTTATAATAGCATCTAAATCAGACAATTTAGGATGATTTTACAGTTCTTTGCTAGTGAGAAACTTTTCTTTTCAAACATTTGCATGCCTATATGGTCACTCTAGTCTTCTTCTGTGTGCTATCAGTTGATTCTTTTGCTTGCCCAATGTTGTTGTGATTTTGAATTCACTGTTTAAATGTTGTATAGTCACATCATTTGGCACAAGACATTTATTTATTGTTTCATTTTTGTCCAGTATTTTTGAAATGTCAAAAAAAAAGTATTTGACTTTATAAACACGGAACAACACTCACGGGGTTAGTCTGGAAATCCCCGCAAACATGGAAGTACACTGTCAGCGTTCATCAGTATTTCTCGTATTTTCCATTATCTCTGCCAAACCTTTTACTGAACTAAAATAAGTCATTCATTCATGATTCCTATATTTTCAGTGTCTGCATGCAATAAACATTGATTTCATGTATGACTTGAATATATTCCTATACATCCAGGGTGGTTTACATACGCTGTAGTAATGACAAGTAAAAATTTCTCCCCAAAAATGTCTTGTATTAAATTGAGAACTCAGAGAAATGGTCATTTCACTCAGCTCAGATGAAGCATCTACAGTTGAAGGAAAAGGATACCAATTCAATTAAACATTCATGTTCATATTATGGCAGTAAAATACATGGTTTTTTTTCAATTGAATAAAGAGTTAAACATTTTTATCTTTGAAACAAGACTTGCCAGTCTCTTTATAAAATGGACTCATTTTGCTTCTATTGAAAGAAATCCCATTAGCATGCCTTTATCTACCTCCTTTGGACCTGGGTGTACATCTGTGTAAGGGCTGCCTATATGTATGTCAAACACAGAAAAATATGATTGGCTTCAAATAAAAGGAACTCAAGCCGTGGGATCCTGTAGGATCAGGCATCCAGGGATCTAAGAATTAATATATTTCTTTGTTCTTGTGATTTTGAAACAACATCAACAATGAATACTCATTACAGTATTGGAATAAAAGTGAAAAGCAATATGTGTAATACTCTTTAGGTGACTGGGCATTGGTATAATTGTAAATATGTGTACTTCAGTCCGGTGCTGTACTTACAATCTTTAATTGATTGTCCCTATCTTCTTGGCATGGACATTGTCTAAAATGTTTTGTAAAATCTCTTCTTTCACTATGTGGTAAATCTTACATTTTTGGTATCAATTAATTGATATTTTTGTTGTAGTGAAAACTTAAAAGTGAGATATCAATTCACATGGCTTTCTTTAATTGTGTACACTGGCTAGCTTTTGGTTGTGTATGAATAATTAACAAAGCCCTCTTGAAGGGTTTCATTTTATTCAAGTCGTAATGTTTTTGAGAAATATGCTCTCCATGCTCTTGCATCAATAGACACAAACGCTGTGTCTTATGTTCTACATTGATAGCCCTATATATTTATTGACATCTGTATTGATATAGATCTAGTTTTGTATTAGCATTAAAAGAAAAATATTGAACTGATAGGACAAAATCATAATTGGCTGTTTAATCAATCCTGAATACTTTGAAAGAGAATTGTGTTGGTTATGTAAAGTTGTATTTTGTTTTGTATTTTGTGCTGAAATATTGTAAAGTTGTATTTTGTTTTGTATTTTGTGCTGAAATATTGTAAACTGATTGATCTCATGTATGTTATCATTGTCATTGTTTTCAACCTCTCTTTGTACTTTGGTTCTTGTTTGCAAAGTTTTGAATCTTTTCTCTATCTATCTATCTATCTATCTATCTATCTATCTATCTATATATATATATATATATAGCATCATGATCTTTGCAGCATTAGTAGCCTAAAGAATTGATTCACTTCAAAGCATCTTATCAAAGCTTTCAGATTATAACAAAGAATAGCGGCAAATATGAAAATTTTTATTTTAGTGTCTCAATCTAGCTAGAAAATTTCTATGTGAATTATGTATCTAAACATGGTGGGGAGGCTATTTTGGCTTTTAAAAGTTCGATAACTCCCCCGGGGCAGTGCCACTGACTGTAGTGTCTTTAGGCCATTCCCAAAGGGGGGAAATTTCTCGTTCAAGCACAGTAGAATTGTAAATGGGCTGATTCATGTCACGCTCATAACTGTGCCTGATCTACAACAGGGAACTGCTGCGTCTTTTTTCCTAATCCTTACTATTGTCATTTTCCTCTACTTCTTTTGTATGTTTGTCACACTCTTGGGACCAGCTATTTCCGGGGTGCCTTGATAGTCGAAGCAGACCTTGTGCTGCTGAAGCTAGAGAGGTGAGCAGAGTAAGTCTGATTCCCTGTAAAGATTTCTCTTTTGACACCCACCCATTGGCGCTCGTATGACCTTATGCAGTTGCGAGCACCGTAACACCCTCTACTATAAAAAAAAAGTTTGATAAAAATGATGAAGAATGTTACCCGTGTTTGGGGGAAGGGGGTGGGGGGGAGAGAAGATATCTTTTCAAGGGGAAACACTCAGAAGTGTGTATACATATTTGTTTCTATTCTGATTGCTTCCCTTTGGTAGTGTACCCGTTCTTTTCAGAAGAGATGGAATCTCTAACTTTTCATCTTTACGTTAGTACAAGTTATAAAGATTGTAACTGGTCTCTCGAGAATTTTGTGTCAAAGTGTGCAATTGATTATTTATTTGTGTGTGTGTGTGTGTGTGTGTGTGTGTGTGTGTGTGTGTGTGTGTGTGTGTGTGTGTGTGTGTGTGTGTGTGTTGCTGTTGACATTAGAAATAATAAATCTCACTTAAAACTAAAAATGTCATGCCATGTGTATAGTTGCACACAAATAGTAAAGTTTTATGAACACAAATAAAGAAATAGTTTTTTAAACTTCACAGTATTTTTTGTAATTTGCTAATTCAGGAAAACTATGCTTAGACCTATTTATATGAACTTAAAAAACATCGCCAGTATATAAAGCATTGTTATTTTTTGTAGAGGAAACATTGTTAATTTCTTTGATAGATAATAATGTTAAATGACGGAAGAAGACATGTTTTCACAAGTTTTTCTATTATTTTGGGTTCTGGGTATTAAAAAGGTAACGTTGAATGCTCATGACGATATTATTTCGGGATCTAGTGTGGGATTGCAGTAGCAGCAGCAGACCGAAACCAAAAGGAGAAAGAAATTGATGAAAAAAGTATCTTGAAAGGGAATAGGACCATTAAAAAAGTAACATGTTGTTTTTATACATGAAATACATGTCTAGCATTTTTAAGATGTGAAATTCATTGAATTTTATTCTTGAAAAATAAAGAAATATCTAAAAAGAATGTATATTTTGCTGTTTGAAATGCACCTTGTTAAAAGTTTGTTGACTGTGTTGTTAGCATATTCTTTAGCTGTTTTCCTCATTCCACATGTAATAAACCGGATAGATCATTCTGTTTACTAAGCATTTTGTGTTAAATATTTGTTCTCTCATTGAGTTTTTAAGGTTGTAGATGTCTTTGTTTAGTGTTTGAATAAGCTTATGCTTTTTTAGTTTTAGTAGAGGTTTTACGGCACTCGCAACTGCTATAAGGTCATATGAGCGTCAGAAGATTAGAGGTGTTACAAGAGAGTAACAAACATAAAAAAAGAAGGAGGGGAGAGAAGAAGAGAGAGAGAGAGAGAGGGGGGGGGGGGGGGGGCGTAGTGAAAGGTGAAAGTCAAGAAAACGATTCTATCTTTAAATCATAATTATTAATTTTATTAGTACCAGATGAGTGAATGGGAACTCACTATAAGAAGAGTCTGGCCTTCAGCCGATGGAACAGAGACAACTTCTACCCCTCCCCCCATCCACACACTCCTCCATTAACACCCCACTCCCCTTTCACCCTCCCCCCAATCCAGCCCACTCTGTCCACACCCCACTCTCAAACCACACCCACTCCCCAACCACACCCACTCCCCATCCACACCCCACTCCTCACCAACACCTCACACCCATCCACACCCCTCTCCCCATCGATTTCCCGTTCTTCATCCCCTTCCCCCCCATCCACCCCCCCTCCACACCCTACTCCCCATCCAAACCCATCCCATATCCACACCCCATTCCCCAATCCTCATCCCCTATCCCCTCCACATCCACAACTCACTCCCTATCCAAACCACTCCCCACCCACACCCCACTTCCTACCCACACCCCACTCCCCACCCACACCCCACATCCTTCCCATCCTTCCTCCCCTCTCCCATCCCCTGCCGCTCGGAGGTAGTTTTTTTCTTCTTACAGGGTGGGGGGGGGGCACTGCATGGCTTTCGAGCGGACAAGACATAAATGACATTGGCAGTGGACTTGGTGTGATACCATCACAAATCTCTGTACGCATGGTCTGCACTGTGCACATTAATCTAAAATAAACGAGAGGATATTTTTGTCGTCCGAACGTTTATCTTTTCCATCGCAACAGCCCAAAACGTTGATGGAAAAATAGTGCTTGATGCAATAACAAAAACATTGTGCATTTCTCAGCGTGAAAAAGTCAGTGCTGTGTGAAGCAGAGACATAAAATTAGTATGGAAGACTGGCTAACAAAAGAGATCATGGGACTGAAGGACGAAGTCTTCATGACGCCCCATTATCCTGTACGCACAATAGCTCTTTTATTATATCCCGTTTGTAGGCAGTGTGGGTGGCTGGCGCGTGCGCTGGTGTGGTTTGCTCCTTATTTTCTTTCAAAAATCTATCGTCCTTATCTCTCCGTCTTCTCTTCTTTGTTCGTTACTCTCTCGTAACACTTCTTCGGCACCTATTTGACCCTTTTGTGTTACTAATGTAAAACTCCTACTAAAACTAAACTAAACTAAAATGCAGGCAGGAATTTATAAAATGTCTTAATCTTCATCGCTTTGCGTCAACTCCTTGCATATTCACATTTCTTCTTATTTTTTCCAATTATTTAAGGACACAGAAAATGATTAAAACACTTTTAGCTTAGTAGGCGAGTGGAACTCATAGCTTGTAACAACAGCTTTAAAAAAAAAGCCAGTCTGAAGCAAGGACACGCAAAAAGACGATTTTCTTTTCCCAGCTGTGCTTCTTCTCATTAATGAAATAAAAGGTCTGAATTGCGATACATCTTTACTGACATGAAATAAAAAAATATCTGTGCATTGTTTTGTTAGATATCTAATACAAAGATGAGAAAATTTTATGCGAGTGTTGGTAAATTTTTCTGTACCATAGTAGGCCTACTTGCTTTTGACACTAATGTTGGGTCTTAGAAAAAAAACGAAACGGAAAAAAACAACAGCAACAAAAACCAACCAACAAACAAACAAACAAACAAACAAAAACCAACCAAAAAAAACCCTCTACAATTTGTATTTTCGATCAAAGCCTCTTGTAAACAAAGGAAACAATGTGGTAAAATAGCCTGTTTCCCTTAATGCAGTACCCAAGTCGGAGGTAATTTGATTAAATGTCCTCTTTAAAAAAGAGAGGGGAGAAGGGAGGAGAGGAGAGGACAGAGTTCTGTGTTAAGAATAATGTCACCATGCTCGAGACTAGCTGCACTTGGCAAAACGCGACATTTTGCGCTGCTGCCTGCAGTGTGTCCTAAAGCTGCGCAGATGGCCGGGAGAGGGAGCATCCATTGTTTTCTTTAACTCCGTTACGGTCCGCGGGCTGTCCCTAGTGTATTCCAGCCAGGGTCTCCCCCTCATCAGAAAGGCTTATGCCCAAATTCGCATGTATTTGATCTCTGGGACGGCTCCACCCATGAGCATGAGTCATTTTGGTCGTTTACTAAATCTTTAGCTCTGATCGGGCATAACCGTGACCCGAGTGTTATGTTTTTAATAAGGAAATGTCAGAAACGCCATGGTGAAAAACAATCTACTGGGCGTGGAGTATTGATCTGACTGAAGTCGGCAGAGAGAGCCCCACCAGTACCGTTTTGTGTTGGTGTTTGTAGCTGTCATTTCTCTTTGAGCTTGGGCATGCAGGATTCACGCTTGGAGGAAAAGAAAGGAGAGAGAGAGAGAGAGAGAGAGAGAGAGAGAGAGAGAGAGAGAGAGAGAGAGAGAGAGAGAGAGAGAGAGAGG